GCTTCTGAGGGAGGGAACAGATGAGATTTAGGATTAGCAGATTTAGGAGTAGCTAGTTGGAGGAATTTCCGCAGGCTCTGGGGCATAGGGGGGCTGTCCCTCGTTGTGTGGCACTTGGTCCTGGGGTGATGAGGACAGGGGAGTATTGGTCTGGAGTATGTGAGCCAAATACAGAAGGTGGGGAAGGCTGGTCTCCAGACTGGTTGTTTTGCATATGAAAGATATGCCTTACAGGTGGGTGGTTTACTGTCTCCAGAGATTGGCTACCCCTGGGAGGGGCAGTCTTCCCACGGTTGGTATAAGGGCCCAGATATGAAAACATCAAAAGCAAAGACATCTTAATACACACCCAAGTGACTTCCCCATTGGTCTGGGCTTCCCTTTACAACAGGGCAGCTGGGTCCCAAGAGAAAGAAAGAGCCAGGTAGGAGACATGATGTCTTTTATGACCTAGCCCTGGAAGTCTTCACTTCGGCTATGTTCTACAGTTGACACAGCTAAAAAGTCCTTGCAGGAAAAAAAAGGGGAGGGGCAGGGAAGGCAGACCTCCTCCCCATCACCTGATGGAGGAGAGTCCAAGTTACAGTGGGAGAAGGGTGTGTGGGATGCGGACGTATTGATAGGGCTGTCTTTGGCAACTGCCTTAAACTCCATCATCCGGAAGTAATCACCGTTAATATTCCCGATCTATTCCACTTCACCTCTCTTGAATGTGTTTGACAATGGAGAAGTGATGGTATTATTAAAATTTTGTGTTCTTGGGCAAGTCCATTAGCCTCTTGTGGGTTCGGGGTAGACACTGAATTAGTTTAAGGGCTCTCACACATGTCTTTCCTTGGGTGATAGAAAGATCTCCAGCTGGACCAAGCTCTTTCACCCCAATTTGAAAAATGACCACGTGTTCCCAATTCTCATTTCAAAAAGGTTACTGCATCGTATTTTCTCAATCTTAATTATTTTTCTCACACCTACATCATAAACCAAATGGCACTTTCTATAAGAAATGCTCACAGGCATCAAATCAAGTAAACAAAAAATGAAATGTCAGACTCAGCCAAACATATTTGGTTTCAGCCATGTGTTTCTTGAGGCCACCTGTGCTCATGTTTGTGATTTTATGTTGTGATCATATCACATGGTCATATTTGATCCTAACTCCTACTTGGTTTGAAATACAGCTTTTCAACATGTTCCCCAGTCCCAAGACTGGGGTTAGAGTTTCCAGAGCCTTCCCCACCTGAATAGTTTATTAACCACGGGGGGTAGATGATTTCTCAAGTCCCACCTGGACTAAAATCTTTGACAATCAAGCAAATGTGGTTCAGGTTCTGTAGAACAGACCAAGCACTCAAGAGTCAAGTGAATTGACATCATCCATTTTAACGGCACGGAACCCTTTGCTTGTTTCAACTGAACAGGCCTACTACTCCTGGCTTCACTTCCCATCTCTGTGCTTGGAATCAGCGTTTTCCAATGCAACATCTTACCTGAGCTGCAGATCCAGATGCCTACTAGATATTGACATCAGAATAGACATATCAACTTTAAACGGAAAAATATCAAATATCTTTTCTCTATAGTCCGGTACCCCATACGTTCCCAGTGCCAGGAGGTACGACACCTGTTGATTGGAAGTTGCTCAATATATGACACGGCGAGAAAAACAACAGTCACTGAGTTTTGGCTGATGAGTTAACAAGGAATGGCCAAACCCGAGTGCGGCTCTGTATGGGTTGTGGTGCTGAGCTCATCGAGAATGGGATCGCAGGACAGAAATGCCAGGATCTAAGGCTGTGCGTGTGCCTGCTGACACTTGTCCTTCCTCTCTGCTGGTCCCCCCAGGAGCCCAGTCTTTCTGCCCCTAGACAGGTCATCTCTTGGGAACCCTGCGCTTTGACCTTCACCAGATGCTTTTTCTTTGGGCTCCTTTGCCCCTTTCCTTGAGGGCGTCCCGGGACTCTGCCGCCCTCTGGTGGCCACGGAGGGCAGCTCAACACTCCGTTTTATTCCGTGGATTTCCAAAGACGTTCACCCTTGCAGCTCAAAAACTTGTTTCGCCCACCTGCCCATGGGCCTGGCGCAGATGAATAAGATTCAGTGGTTGCCCTTGATAAGCTTCCAGCTGAGGGGATGAGAAGGCGACGGATGGAAATCTATTCATTCCTTTGTTTACTCATTTAACCAGTATTTATTGAGCACCTGTAGGCGCCCAGTCTAGCAGTAAAAAAGGCAAATGAGGTGCCTGCCTTTACAGGACACAAACCCCACTGGGTGTTAAATACTCCAGCAAATACACCCACAAATAATGATAAGCGCCTATGAGTTAAATAAAACAGGTAATGAGATAGAGAAGGGCCACAGGGGTGGCCGTCGAGAGAATGGTCTGGAGATGGTAGTGGAGCTGACTTTTAAAGAGGGGAAAGTGCCAGCATCCAGACACAAGAGGAGGAACATTTTGGGAAGAGGAGACAGCAAGGGGAAAGGTTTCAGAGGAGGGGATGAGCCTAGTGCGTTTCAGAACAGAAGTTCCGTGCAGGTGGTGCGCTGGGATGGAGGGGGCATTGGAACGATCAGCAGGCCAGCTGGGCAGGGTTTGAGCCCTGCCTTATTCTAAGTGCAAGGGGGAGTCATGGAGGAGCATAGGCCGAGGATTTGCATCTAAGGAACATAGTTTGATATAATGTGAACCCGTGGGAGCACAGGGGAGGGGTGCAGATCCAAGTCTGGAGGGCAGAGAGCCCTTCCTGGATAAGGCGTATTAGCTGTCTATTGCTGCATAACAAACTGCCCCCAAACTCAGTGGGTTAAATCAATAAGAAACATTTATCATCCCGCGGTTTCTGAGGGTTGGGAATTTGGGAGCAGCTCTGCTGGGTGGGTCTGGTTCGGAGTCCCTCATGGGATGCAGTCAGCATGTTGGTCAGGGCAACATTGTCTGAAGGCTGCTGAGGCTGGAGGGCCCGCTGGGGGTCGGCTACCCCATAAAGAACACCAAATTGGAGTCTTAAAGGAAGAGTGGGGATTGGCCAGCGGGGATTGGAAGAGTGATGAAGATGAGTGTTAGGGCTGAACTGTGTCCCTCTAAAATTCATAGATTGAAGCGCTGACCCCCAGTGCCTCAGAATGCGACTGTATTTGCAGGTGGGGCCTTTAAGAGGCGATTAAGGTAAAACGAGGTCATTGGGGTGGGCGCTAATCCACTATGACTGGTGTCCTTGTAACAGAAGATTAGGACACAGACCAGAGGGATGTCCACGTGAGGAAGCAGGGAGAGGGCAGCGTCTGCAGGCCAAAGACAGAGGCCTCAGGAGAAATCAACCCTGCTGACACCTTGATCTTGGTCCTCTAGCCTCCAGACTGTGAGAGAATAAATGTCTGCAGTTCCAGCCGCCCAGTGTGTGGTGTTTTGCTGTGGCAGTTCTTGAAAACGAATACAGTTGAGAAAGGTGTTCCAAGGCCTGAGCCAAGATCCAGATGTGTGAAACAGTGCAGTAATGCCGTATAGTTGACATTACTAGATCCTGAAGAACAGGGGCCAGCAAACTCCTGTACAGAACCAGATGGTAATATTTACTTTAGGTTATTCCAGGCTGTAAAGTATCTGTTGCAGGAAAATGGCTATAGACAATACATAAGTGGGTGTAGCTGTGTTTCAATAAAACCTTGTTTACAAAAACAGTAGTTCACAGGCCATCGTTTGCCAACCCCTGTTGAAGAGGGGTGCAGGGCCTGGGTCATGGTGAGAAGTACTGTAGGAGGAGAACACAGAACTAACCCCAGGTTCTCCTTCCAGCCCTGATATTTGCCTTTTGAGGGTCAAGGTTGGGGAGGTTTGTGGGGAGTCCTATAAACGTTCCCGTGTGTACGTGGGGGGTCCTGTAAAGGGTATTATACAATCACACAGTCCCAGCCTCAGTTCTTGGCTCTACCTCTGTCTGGTCTCTCTGAACATTTTTCTCTTCATCTGAAAAGTGGAAGCAACAACATCTGCCTCCCAAGAGTCAATGTGAGCTCTGAGTGAGGTGATACAGTAGGTGGTCCATTAATGACTGTCCCCCCCTTTCCTCTTGCCTATATGGAGTCACTATTATAAGACTTTCTACCCCAATAGTGAGCTGTCAACAAAAAGGTTCACTGCCAGGGGCAGAATTCTGCATCTACATCCAAGACCGCGTGAATCCTCCAGGTGTGGACAAAGGGACGAGTCTTTCTCCAGCGGGAGGACTGGTGCCAGAGTTCTAAGGACATGAGCTTCTGTTAAAACACCTTACCCTCTGCCGTTGGGGCAGAGCTCTGGAGCTGACCTGGCCCCGTTTTGCATCGTTTTAAGCAGAAGTGCCATGATTCGATTTGTCATTTAAAACTCTGGCTGCTGGGTGGGGGACAGTTGTAGGGGAGGAGGGACACTTTCAGGGTCTTAGATGTTCATTATATTGGAGTTGTCCCCTTTTTGGTAGGCGTTTGCTTTACCTTTCTCTCTCCTTTTTCTGGGCCTGTTCATTGGGGGACTAGAAAGTGGGGACAAAACAGCCCACCGGTCCCCCCAGAACCTCAGGCCAGCAAGTGGTGAACCTGAGCTTAGCACAACCCCGCCTCTCCTTCAGAGGCCCTATCCCTTGAGCTGCAGACAGGGGTGGGCTGCTTATTCGCTTCTCTGGCAGCCAGCCCCGCCCTCCCCGGAGACCCCGCCCCTATGCTCGAGGCCACGCCCACGCCCATTAATTGGCCGGCAGGTGGCGCTGGCGCTCAGCCCAACTCCTCATCAGCTCCGCCCCTCCCTCGAGGCTCCACCCCCTCGAGTCCTTATCCTCGTCCATTAGGTGGTCGGCAGGGGAAGGCCCCGCCCCGCCGGCCCCGCCCACCAGGCCCCACCCCTCTGTCAGGTGGCCGAGAGGAGGCCCCGCCCCGCCAGGCAGGCCCCGCCCCCGCAAGGCCCCGCCCCGTCCGTTGGGCTGCCGGCAGGAGGCGCCGCGCCACGCGCGGGGCGCGGGGCGCGGGCGCGGGCGTGGGCTAACGGCTGTGTGGGAGCCGCGCGGGACCGCGGCGGCGGCGAACTGTGCCGGAGGTGAGTGCGGGGTGCGCGAGGAGCGGCGTCCGGGGCCCCGGGGCGCAGAGCCGGCCGGCTGGGAGGCCGTGGGGCGCGCGCTAGGGCAACGGGGCCCTCACGGGGCATCTCCGGGCCGTTCCGGCCGGGCTTGTCCGGTTGCCATGGAGACCGGTCACTGTCGGGCCCCGGGCGCGGCCCTGGGCCGTGGGGGGGGGGGGGGGGGTCGGGACCCGAATCGGGGCGAGCTTCGACCACCGTTCCCTGAGACGCGGGAGTCTGGCCCCCCACTGCAGGGCCCCCCAGGGCTTCAGTCTCCCTGGTGGTTCCTTCGAGGGGATCTGGCAGCGCGGGCGCTGCGGGGGAGCAGGGCACGGGTGTCAGCGCCCTGCCTCCAGGGTCGGCGTGACATCCCCCCCCCCGTCGGCCACAGCCGGTCCTGGTTTTCCTGCTCACACAGCGGCGCGTTCCCCACTCGTGTGCCAGCTGAAAGCATTGTCTCCCAGCTATTTCTGTACCACCCCCAGCCCCTCGGCAAATACTGCATCTAAGAAAACAGATGCTGAGCTGGAGCTCCTGGGGGCCCCGCGGAAGAAACTGGCTTATTTCCCATCGGGGAGCCGGTTGGTGGGACCGTGGTGGGACGGGGGCTGCAGACCCGCCTGCTCAGCAACGCCTCCCCGCCCCCCACACCTTGTTAAGTGTTTGGTTAATCTGAATTGCCCAAAAGAATTTGCAAGTCAAGGGTGATTACAGGTGTCTCCAGTTAGCACCTCTTGTGCATTCCAGAGAGGAGCCAGTCCTTAATCCCATTGGTGGAAAAAGTACCCTCTGGAGAGGATAGCATGTCAGAATTACATCTGATTAAATTATTTCTGTATTTGAAAGCACTGCTCTGGCTAGAGCTGTCAAGGTAGGATTTATGGACGGTGGGGAGAAAGCAGAGCCTGAGAGAGTCTACCCTCTTGCTTCCCTGTCCTGGTGGAAATTCTAATGAGTTCCACATTGCAGTGTTGGGCCGGCCATGTGCCTCCACCCATTTCTTCAGCCCGGCACTGACCTCGCTCATTGCGCTCACTGGTGTGACTTGAGCTTGTTTTCATCAGAAATTGGATTCTTCCTGGAGAACAAGAGAAAAACATTGCCCAAGAGAAGCAACAGCAAGTGTCCTACACTCTTGGGCCTGTTTCCCCAAATATTTGTGTGAAAGAGAAGAGGAGTGGGCAGCAAAGGGAAAGACAGGTCATGCCTCCAAAACCCGGATCGGGTTACCCAGGGCGCACCCCACTCTGGAGGGTGTGCCTGCGCTCTTGCCCTTGCTGGGGATTGTCAGGCGGCACGGTGGGACAAATAGGTCGTCCTCTGCGTTTTGCACTTGCGAAGGGCGCTGACGAGGGAACACGTGGCCGCTGTCGGGGGCTGTTCTCTGCAGATGGCCATAGAGAGAGTGACCATGGGGAGAGAGAGGCTTCCTGACTAGAGAGACCACACAGACCAGGGTCTGTGTTTGCCTGGACTTCTTGGGGCTTAAGAAGGAGCTCCCGAAGAGAAAAGATCACAGTCTGTCCTACATTTTCTCTGCTCTTGATGTGATTTTGCGAACTTTGCCTTGGAATCCTGCTGAAGAGAAGGGAGGGGAGCTCACTTCTGAGGCCCCGGGGAGGGATCCAGCAGCTGTGTCCGTTTCTATTTCTTGTTTATTAAGGCAGAGTTGTATATGCTTCAGACCTTACAGAACCTGGACCCCGTGCCAGGCACAGAATAGCAGTTCCCTTCTACGCTGTATCTGGGAGCCTTTCTCTCAGCTTATGGCATCATATTTAAGTTCACATTCAGACATCTTCTCGAAAGGCAGCAGCTTCCAAGCCTCTGGGCCACTATGGGTTTGGGCTGAGACCCTGCGGCCTGTGCTTGAAGGAGGCGGCCGGGTAAGCAGAGCGTCTGTGGAGGGTTCAGGTCCTTTGAGAAGGTGCTGGCCCAGAGGCTTCTGAGCCGGGTTGTCCTGAGAGGCAGGTTGTGTAACTCGCGGAAGGCTAGCGTGGGAATGGGCTGCTGGTGTAGTGTGCAAACTGGGCATGCAGGTACTAGCCGAAATGCTTCAGTTGTGTTTGACAGGCCCGTGTGGGGAGGCCATGGCCAGCTCTGGCCTCCTTAGGATTTCACAAGGAGACAGGTCGTACATTCCTCAGGGGGAAAGAAATGAAGCCATTCTAGCCCGATTCATGGAGGCCAGAGAGAGCCCCAAATGCTTGTTCTGCTTAGGACACTAACTGCTTTGAGCGAGCTCCAGTCTTCAGGAAGCTGGTGTGTAATAAAGAGCTTTGCTGGGGGAAGGCACAAACGATAGACTGTAGAACTGCAGTGTCCCCCGCCCACCTCCAAGTGGCAGGCATCAGTTTTTGGAACCTCATCTTTGGTGCAAGAAGCTGTCAGAAGCATTTTGAAGAGTTTGGGCTTCTCTGAGGATGTATGGTGGCTGACAGACCCAGGCTGGTTCTAAAGGAGTTAAATGGTGGGTCTGCTTCCACACTTCTTCCCAACAGCCCTGGACGGAGTGAGGGACTTAGAGAATGTGACGGAAGCCTAGTGGACGGCTAGCAAGAGGCGCAAGCACATGTCCACCTTGTGGGTCAGTGTGGTCCTTTTGTTTGGGGGTGCTCCTCAGTGACTTTCTCCTGCCCTAAGCACACAGCTTCACTTCCAGAAAGGCCTTTCCAGTGCCCGTGGAGCCAGGAGTGGGTCAGGACTGAGGACGCTGACTCCAGCTGAGTGAGTGCTGACATTTGTCACAGAGGCAGGTGACCACTGCTATACTCACTGGGACCTGGGCCACTGTTTCCAGAGCCTTGAGAGAGTAGACTTTTCTTGGTCAGTCTGTCTGCTGTTGTCTTTGGCGAGGGCATGAGCACAGAGGTTGGGAGTAGGGTAGTTGGGAGATAGGTACGGTTTTTCAGTGTCCCAGGCTCGTTGCAAAGCTTTGGTGTTTATGAAGCAGAGACTGTCTTCCTGCTCCCACAGTGCCTGGGTGGGGAGAGGGGGGAACCTGGTAAACTGTCTCTGTAGAATCCCAAGTCCTTCAAGCTCTAGGTGCATTAGAATTATGATTTTATGACACACCAAAGCGTCCCAGAGCTGTTTTCTAATTTCCCCAGCAAGATTGCTTCTCTGGCCTGGCCCGGGCCTGAATACCAGGCAGGATGCGGTGGGTGGAATGCATACATTCCAGTCATGCCTCCACTGGTCCTGGAAGAGCCCTTTTGTGTCCATTGTGGTTGCGTGGACATTGTAGAGCTGCTTTCCCAGAGAAGCAGCTCCTCCAAGCCAGGACCAGTCATCGAGGAGCCGCGTTTTGGGGGAATCTGTGTTCTGAGCATCTGATCACTCTGTTAACGTGTCTGTGACTTTGCCTGTTTTCCTAGATCCATTGGTGCTTGTGATTGATTTCCCGTATTAGAGGCTGTGGTGTAGGAGAGGCTGAGCTTAAGGAGATCAGGCTTGCTGCCCTCTGTGGGCTGCCTCCCACAGAACCGGGCCTGTCGCGATCCTGCTAGGCAAGTATGCTCATCCGCACGCCCGCCGCCACTGTTTCTTGGCCGTGTGCCGTATGGGGCGCATGTGCCTGGCTTTCCATAGAAGTCAGAACCCTGCGGCCAAGCGGGTCTTACCTCTTGGTGACCTCTTCGTGCTTCCTGGTAATGGTGTTTCTTGAAGGGTGTTTCAGGCCATTCGAACTGGCTTTGTCTCCTGCGGCCCCTGCTGGCTTCAGTCATATTCTGACTCAGGTGCTCTGGTGGCGCTAGCCAGAGGTTGCTGGCTGTGTTGGGACGCGGCCCTGGATGGCCTAGTAAGTCTGCCAGAATTCACTTGAGCCTTGTTTGCTCTTGCCACTCATGATGGTGATGCTAACCCACCGTTATGTTTTTCTCCCAGGACACAGCCTTTTCTGTGCCATTGGCCAGAGCCCTCAGTCCTTGTCCATGACGACAGACCCACCATGTTTTATGGGACCCACTTCATCATGTCTCCACCCACCAAGAGCAAGCTGAAGCGGCAGAGCCAGCTGCTGTCCGACATGCTGTCCCGGACGCTGAGCTACAAGTACCGTGACCTGGATGCCACCTTCTCTAGCCTGGGCGCCAGCGACGACCCTGCAGAACTCTCCACCCAGCTCTCGGCCCCTGGGGTCCTGAAGGTGTTTGGGGACAGCGTCTGCACGGGAACCCACTACAAGAGTGTCCTGGCCACCGGCATGTCCAGCGCCCAGGAGCTGGTGAAGGAGGCCCTGGAGCGCTATGCCCTGAGCCCCGAGTGTGCCAGCCAGTACGTGCTGTGTGACGTGGTGGGCCAGGCCGGTGACTCGGGGCAGCACTGGCAGGCTGAATGCTTTCGGGTCTTTGGGGATAACGAGAAGCCCCTCTTGATCCAGGAGTTATGGAAACCTCGAGAAGGCTTGTCCCGGAGGTTTGAGCTAAGAAAGAAGTCAGACGTGGCAGAGCTGGCGGCCAAGGACGTGGACACCATGACCGCAGGTGAGGAGGGGAGACACCTCAGGGAGAGTGGGGGCTGGCGGGGGAGAACTGAAAGCCAGAGGCTCAGGGGTCCGTTTGGGGAAAACTCAGGAAGGTATGTTTGCTCTGTCACACGTTTGAGGACTTCTTAAATTTCCTGCTTTAATCCAAGCTGCCGTGGAGACTGCAGTTCGTCTCCATTGCAGGACGCGTGCTGGTGCTTTAGTCTTGCAGTCAGGTGCTTGGGTGCACAGAGCCGTGCGCACCATGTGCTCTGTGTCAGTGCGGGTGGCAGGTGCGTTACAGAAGTCCGGAGTCTCAGGGACAGGCAGTGAAAGGACAAGGGAGGAAGTCGGGTCTCCAGAGGTGATGGGGTGCATCGGGTGTGCATGGGTTTGTGGGGGCCTGGGGCAGTTGGAGGCCTGTGGGCCACTGCTCTGTGTCTGCCTATTGTTCACTTGGTGGAAGGTTGATTCTCTTAATAGGTAAATGCCATAAACAGTAATTTTCTTCAAATGCCAAAGGACTCTTAAATGTATCTCAAATCATATTTGACTTTTTCTTAATTTCCTGGAGAAAATGGTGGCTTTATGCAAAAAAGGGACTTGTCCTATGTAGCCCTGAGTTGTCATTTGATTTCATGATCCCCGGGGTTGAAAGGGGCCTTGAGCACTCCTGACCTGTTGTGTGTGTCCCCGAGGTGTTGCAAATGCTCATTGTCTCTAGCTCTGCTTCTGCTCTGGGGCCTGCTTTATATCTTCAGCATGTGGAGATGACCGGGGGGGATCGGTGGGTCTCCCAGGGGCTGGGGTTACTCAGGCCTGATGGGGACCTCTGAGTCTCACAGTCTAGACGGGCCACGGCTGACATTAAGCAGCAGCGGCCCTCTTTTACCTTAGGCAAATCAATTCACTGCTTGTGGCCTCGGTTTCCTGATCTGGAGAATGGGGGCATGACTTCAGTGTCGTGGGCGTTAGTGATAGGGTAAAGCACTAAGCATGGTGCTTGGCAGATGCGCAGGGAGTCATAGTTGTGTATTATTAACGTTTCCTCTATGTGGTAAGCAGTTTGTTCTCTGTGCTCCTAGGCAGAACTGTGCTGAGGATGGAGCTGGGGGTCCTTCTGACGGGGGCAGTTATCACTGATGGCTTGGGAGCTGCTGGCACACGATGATAATCAAAAGCAGGCCCAGGTGTAGTTGGTTTTGTTGTTTCCAAGCCTCCCTGGACCAGCACCCCGAGCACCCCCACTCTGCAGGCTCAGGCTTTGGTTTGTTGTCTGGTCCCACGAGGACAGGCAGACCTGCTGAGGGGCTGCAGTGGCATTCGTCTCCTGGTCATTTCTCTGCTGAGTGGAGGGCAAAGGCATAGGGGTCATTGTGCTGTGGGTACCTGGCCAAGGCCTTGGAAAGCTTGCTCTGTGTTGCACAGGTGATGGCTGGTGGGGGACCGGGGGCCAGATGCCATCTGCAGGACATGGGACTTTGTCTCCTGTTCACTAGCCCCTTGTAGATGGTCTTCCTTTTACGTTAGTCGTAAAGGTGCCTTAGTCGAGGCAAGAGAAGGCCCCATTGCCCACAGCCTATTCAGCTTGGTGTTGGTTTTGCAAAATCTTTCAAATAAAGAGTCTATTGAATGGGACCAGTCTCACTGACACACTTCTCTGGGCTGGAAGTGGGTTGTGTTACCTGCCCGAAGCAGGCCTCCTGGACCCAGGGGAGACGGCCTTCACTGCTGGCCTTCCCTTGGGGTGCGGTCTGGGCACTCCCGGGCATCGTGACCATGCTGTCCCCCTTTGCCCGTGACGGTCAAGATGGTGAGGCCTGCGCAGGCTGTGGGTTGTCTGAGCTCACCCCAAGTTGCTGAACCGAGTGTTCTGTGTGTGTGTTGATGATTCTGTGCCAACTCAGATAATGAGAAAGAATCTCAAGCTTGTTGGTCTGCCGGCTCAGGAAGACTTTGCCCGGTGTCTCCTGCTTGGCATCCCCGCCCCCCTCCCACCGCTGCCGGATGGTGCTCCACGCTGCTCTGTCCTCCTCCTTCCCCCAAAGAGCGGGCGAGCTTGCCCTGAGCCAGTAGTCTACCTCATCTGCGGAAAGTGCTGGAAAAGGGAAGGGACTGCCTGCGTGCGCGCGTACACGTGCCTGTGTGTGTGTCATGTGTGGTGTGGCGTGTGCATGCATCTGTGTGTGCCACTGTGTGCGTGTGCATGCATCAGTGTGTGCAGTGTGCACGTGTGTGTGCAGTGTGCACGTGTGTGTGCGCAGTGTGCACGTGTGTGTGCACGTGACTTCATGCCGGGCTGTGAGTCGGGGCTCACTAGTCCTGGTTTCAGAGTGAGCCGTAGCCAGCGCCCAGGGCGTGCATCCTGGCTGCTCTTTGGAGCTGGGGAGCAGCTGGGAGTGGGTGCAAGGAACCCACCCCAGGCCCTTCTTCCTGCAGACTCATGGGGGTCCCCTCTGTATCAAGGTGTGAAAGAACGTGTGCTGGATGCTTCCCGGAGGCTCTCCTTAACCGTGTGGACCACTGTTATGCACCCATAGTATTGCACTCAGGCACTTAGGGTTTTGTTTCCGTAAACAGTCTTTTCACAGCTGCCCGCTTCCCCCGGGTTTCCTGAGTATCCAGATACTGTGCATCTGCTCTGGGAGAGAGGCGGCTGGCGTAGGTGGGGCGGGAAGGCCTCTCCTACTCACATATTCCCAGAAGGCTGGTGTTTAGGATCGGGCGCATAGACAGGGCTCTGGGTCCTGTCACTGACATGTAGACAGTAATCTCTTCTGTGTGCTTTGGGGAGGGGTGACAGCTGGGCCATGTCTTTATCAGCAGCTTGGGAAGGGCAAGAGAGAAGGTTCGTTTGTGTCTCCAGGACAGAAGAGTGTATTTAGCCTAGATTTCTGAAGCTTGGCCTCACTGACGTTTCAGGCCCATGGTGTGCTGCGAGGGCCGACCTGTACGTTGGAGGGTAGTTAGCAGTTCCAGGCCTCTGCCTGCTAGCTGCTAGCAACACCCCTACTCGCTGTGGCAACCAAAAATGTCCCTGGGCATTGGTGGGTGTCCCTGGGGGCAAATTTGCCCTGGATTGGGAACCACCAATTTGGACCTGGTGGCCTGAGCTTAGTTTGTTGGCCACACCAGTGCTTCACCACTGGGGCCAGTGGTCACGTGCCTTCCTGATCCTCAGGCCATGGTCTCTCTCGTGGCTCCCTGAGGAACTTGGGTACCTTGAAAGCCCAGTGTCTTTTTTTTTTTTTTAAAGATTTTATTTATTTATTTAATTGACAGAGAGAGAGAGAGAGAGAGAGAGAGAGAGAGAGAGAGACAGTGAGAGAGGGAACACAAGCAGGGGGAGTGGGAGAGGGAGAAGCAGGCTTCCCGCCGAGCAGGGAGCCAGATGCGGGGCTTGATCCCAGGACCCTGGGATCATGACCTGAGCCGAAGGCAGTCGCTTAACCAACTGAGCCACCCAGGCGCCCCGAAAGCCCAGTGTCTTAAGGGTGATATGCAGAGCTGCTTTTTCTGCCCGTGGATGCCTTTCCGTGTGGCCTACATGGCCCTCGGAGGCTTGGTGTTGTTCCATTCCCTGCAGTTAGGGTCTCCCCTGCTTTGGGTGTCCTCTGTGAAGCAAGCAAGCTTAGAGTGTGTCTAAAGCTGCTGTGACCGAGGTGTGCAGGCTATGCCATTGCAGGGCATCTCTGCCTCAGCCACGGGGCTTGTGACTAACCACCCTTCAAGTGTCTGTACAGTGTGGGGCATACAGTGGGTGCTCAATAAGTGCCTGTTGCAGGACTGATGCATGTAAGGAGAGCAAGCTCCTCTCTAAGTCCCACTTCCTGTGTGCATCTAAGACTCCAGAGTTGGAATCCATTTTCTTTGCCAGGGGATGGGGACGGGGAGGAGAGAGGGTGGTGTGCCGATGGGGTGGAAGTCCCTAGTGCAAACTGTGGCTTGAGTGACGAGGAATGTGCCTCTTGGGCACCTGACAGTACAACCCGCCAGTCTCCCCTCTCCTTCAGGCCCAGTGCGAGTGGCCGGTGGTGGCAGATTTGTTGTCTCTGAGCACTTGACTTTGGTGTGTGATTCCTTCCACCTTTCCATCCACAGATGGGCAGATGGAGCCTGGACCCCGGTGACAGAAATGTTGAGGCTGCACGGGAGCCCTCTGCTGTCTCCACTGTGCACCATGAATTCTGTCCTCACACGTCTCCCAACCTCTTCGTGCTTTTGACATTTTTCTTCTGCTATGAATCTGATCTTTAATAACTTCTCTCAGAATGAATGAGGTGATCTGGGTTTTCTCCTTTTATTTAGGAGTAACTGCCTTGTGAGTCTTGAGTAAGACTCCTTTGAGCATATTTGCAGGGATAGAATCATTGTGGGCAGAGTTTATTTTATGTGGTTTGGTGAAAAGCAAGACAACTGCCAACTTTTCTCATCAGTTAGAGCTTAAAAGATATTTTTGAGGATTCTTAATTCAAAGAGAACAAAGTTGAATGGTTACCCCCTCACAGCCCGTCTCATCCTTTAATTCACTGTGTAGATTTTTAAAAAGTTCACAGCCTTCAGTTTCAACGTAGAAGTGCAGTGTTGGAGGAGGCTTAACTGCCCTGTTCCCCCAAGCTGGGTGTTGCCCACCCGGGGCCTGGCCAGCAGCACCCCCGCCTCCCCGGGGACTTCCGGCCACATTATATAAGGAGCCTCCAAAGCTTACCACAGAATCCACAGGGGGAGGTCAGAACTGGTATTAAATGTTGACAAGGTGTAAACTATAAGAGGAATTGGCTAAGGAATGGCCAGTGTGGACACTGCAGGGAAGGAATTTAGCCAGTGAAGGAAACGCATGCCTAAGGGGATGCAGGCTCTCCTGGGGTGTTGGAGCCAGAAGGGATTAGGTGTCAGGTTGAGGGGATGAGCAGGAATACCAGACATCTGTCAGCCCTCAGATCCAGGGTTCCTCATCTTTCTTCACATTTGGCCCCAAATTGGAATGCCCACAATGTGAGAGTGGATGTTAATTGGTTG